GTCCAGGATCTCCTGGGTCCATGCTTCTGGGTCCACTGCAGTGGGGCAAGGGGATGGATGATCTGTGGAGCTGGGGTCCTGGGTCCTTCTGCCACATCCGGAGTTAGTTTCATGGATGCTGCTGCTGTGGGCAGATGAGCCAGTGTCATGTGTGCCTCCATGACTAGAGGGATGACGTCCCAAGCCCTGGTGTGGCCTGGTTCCCCGTAGCCTTGGCCACAGCTGTGGCTGAGAAGCCTGAGTAATGTGCGTCACCTCCCCCACTGCTGTTAGGTTTTCTGGGGCTGTGGGTTCAGCTGCTGGGGCTGGAGATCCAGGATTTCAGGCACCACCTGCAGTGTTACCCCAGATCTGCCTCCTCTGTGTGTTTCAGTCCACCCACCCTTATGTACACATGTACAGATGTGTGGAATTCTCTGGAGCCCCGGTGTATTGGGCAGAGACACTTTTGTTGAGTTATGGTTGTTTTACTGGTGGTAGATTGAAGAAGGGAAGAGACAAAGGGAGCCTCTCACACCACGCTGACGCTGACTTCACTCTCTGGCTGACTTTTTTTTTTTCTAAACTAAATTGGTCTGAATTCAGGGTATTGCATAGACCATTTGTAACTTATCTATTTTTAATGTAAAACATGACTGACTTTTTTGGATTGTGGAAGGCCTCTTTTCTGCATTTGTACTGATTTATTGTATAGATACAAGCTGTATAAATAACCTGGAATCGTTTTTACTGTCTTTTCTCATTTGTTTCCCCTTTGTGTTACTCGTTTATACAATCTCTTCTTTACGCTAATGCCAGAAATGACTTTTCCAAACGTGTAACTTTGGTCATTCATTTTTCCATCCTTGTAAAGCAAAACAAAATAATCTTTTCCTTTGCCATTGGCTCCTAAATACATACAGTACTGTTTTCTGACTCTGCTCTCTTCATGCTTTTTTCCCCACTAAACTTCATATACCCTACTCTCCCACCAAACTGAAATTCACAGTTTACCCAAGCAGTCCCAATCCTTTGCTCATTTCATTCTCCTGCCTAAATCCACCCTGTTCAGATACCACACCACTTTTAAGCCTTGTTTTCATTCCTTAAAGGTGAGTTATTTCTTTTTTCAGTGAACTTGTAGCTCTCTTTTGTGTGCCTTTGTCTTAAAGCACTCTCCTTCAGTTACAGCTATGCATGTATATGACTCACTCCCCTTAAAGAGTAAAATTCTCGAGAGGCTTTTTGGATCATGTGTTATTCTATTTTGAATCCTATACAACATTGCTACCCAAAGTGTGGTTTTTTTGGACCAGCCACAGGTCTTAAGAGTTTGTTACTGGTCCAGGAAAAGATAAAGAGCTGGCAACAGAGTCTAAGTCAGTTGTGGCTAAGCACACTGGTTCAGCTGATTCTTTTTTTCTTTTTTCATACAACAAGACTTTGTTATAGAAAGAAGTGTGTTTATTTACATTCTGGCACAAGCACCTTGGCAGACTGGTGCTTTAAGCAGTATTACCTTTAATAACCAGGAAAAAATAAATGAGTCACAGGATATTTGTTCTTGTTACTTGTTATATAATTAAATACATGATTTTCTCTTTTCAAAATTCACCGATTGTTACTTTGGCCTAGAAAGGGTGAATATGGTACTAAATATTAAGAGGCAGTAGACTTGTATATATATTCAACCCAAGGGAGGGGGTAGAATTTCTAAGAAAAATCCTGGAGCAGCGTCCTTAATGTATCCCATGAAGTTCAAATTTTAGTTATCTTAATAAAATGTTCTGGTTGATTTTTTTCAGAGAGGGAAACCATGAATTGATTCCTTGGAGACCAGTAAAATCTTTAATAGATAAAAGGATAGAACTGATTCTTAGAAATAGATAGTACTTAAGAAATAAGCAGGAAAGTCTCTATTTTTTCATGTTATTGCCATAGACATCTTAAATACAGAAAATATATTTCAATGTATAGTACTTGCATTATTTTTTATGATCCTTTAACAGCTGTCAAAAAAACCAGAATTTGTATAAAGGAAGAAAAGAGAGGGAAAACTCAGCAACCTTTTTTTTTACAGAGTCAATGGGCCATGGATAGGGCAGTGTAGTAATGATAGATGATCTAACGAAATTAGTGTTAAAAATTGTTTAAGAGAGTTTGAATTATGCCTCTGGGCACATGAAATGAAGATTTAAATTAGATGTAACCATAAATGATGATATAATAACATATTAAAACGGTATGATAAGCCTCATTAAGAAACAGAAAAAACGAAGATAACTTAGAGAAAGCCAGGCCTTTCTGGCAGAAATATGTTGGACTGCTCATAGCCAGTCCAGAGTTCATTCAAGGGGATGACTGCAAGGTTTGGAACCAGTGTACACGCGACATTTGTTTAGAATGTTTGTTATTTGTTTTAGGTTTTCTAGTGGGAGAGGAGGCATTTGTTGGACTTATTTAGTTTAGAGGAATTTTGTATTTATCATTTTAGTTGCTCTTTAGTTAAAAATTTGAATAGGTCGTAAACATACACATGGTTTAAAAATTCAGAAATATAGAAAGATACACAGGGAAAAGTTTTAAGCTGGTCTTTTCCCTATTCAGTACCTGATTGGCTCTTACCTTATCACAGGCAAACATTTTTATTAGTTTGTGGATCCTTCCATAAGTTTATCATGTAAATACAAAATGTATACAGTTGGCAGGGATTAGGAGTGCCAACCTTCCAAGCAGTCAGAAATCTATGTATAACATACATGGTTCTTTTATATCTGGGGTTCTGCATCCTTGGATTCAGCCAATAAGGAACTGTGTAGCACTGTAGTATTTACTGTTGAAAAAAGTCCGTGTAAAAGTGTATCTGCATGATTCAGACCTGTGGTTGTTCAAAAGTCAACTGTACCCCAATACGCTCCCAGTTTTTAACATGAATGAATATGCATAATAGCCTCATATTATAGCTACTGTTCTGAACACTCTTTATTTTTTTCCACATCACGAGCATCATGGAAATTCTTCCATATCAATGCATACAGCTTTTTCATTGTTACTGATAGTTAAGTCCAAAACGCCCATTAAGATCTATGGTTAGTTTTTTTTTTAATTTTTTAATTGAGTTATAGTCATTTTACAATGTTGTGTCAAATTCCTGTGTAGAGCACAATTTTTCAGTTATACATGAACATACATATATTCATTGTCGCTTTTTTTTCCGCTGTGAGCTACCACAAGATCTTGTATATATTTCCCTGTGCTATACAGTATAATCTTGTTTATCTATTCTGCATATGCCTGTCAGTATCTATGGTTAGTTTTAAGACATATTTTAATTTAAGAAATTTGAGTAGCTTCCCCTGGGTTAAGGTGTTATCTTAAATAATGTATTTTTGTATTTTCCTGTAATATACCAAAAATAAGTTTGATCAGTGGACTCTATATCTAGGCCAACCTAGATAGCTTTCAATCTATGCAATCTTTTTTTTTCCGATTCTTTTATTACAGTAAGAAATAAATACAACAAACTTACATTCATAACTATTTTTTCAGTGGTATTACATACATTCACAATGTTGGCAACCATCATCACCATCCATATCCATAACTCTTTTTATCTTGTAACTGAAACTTTATACTCATGGAGCAGTAACTCCCCATTCCCCACTTCTCCTAGTTGTTGGTAACCACCATTCTACTTCCTATCTCTATGAATTGTGACTGCTTTAAGTACCCCATATAAGTTGAAGCATACAGTATTTGCCCTTTTTTTGTGACTGGCTTATTGCACTTAGCTCATGTTGTTTAGCTGTCTTATGTGTGCCTTTGTCTTTTTCAAGGCTGAATAATATTCCATTGTGTGTGTATATATCTATATACATCCATTCATCTGTTGGTGGACACCTGGGTTGCTTCCATGTGTTAGCTGTTGTAGATAATGCTGCTGTGAACTTGAATGTACATATATCTCTTTGAGACTCTGATTTGAATTCTTTGAGGTATATACCTAGAAGTGGAATTGCTGGATCATATGGTAAAAATCTATTTTTTATTTTTTGAGGAACCACCATACCGTTTCCCACAGTGGCTGTACCATTTTACATTACCACCAACAGTGAACAAGCATTCTTGCTGTTTTATCCACATCCTCATCAACACCTGTTGATTACTGTTGTTTTTTTTTATAGTAGCCATTCTATTAAGCATGAGGCAGTATCTCATTATAGTTTTGATTTGCATTTTCCTAATGATTAGTAATGTTGAGCATCTTTTCATGTGCTTTATCAGCCATTTGTATATCTTCTTTGGAGAAATACGTATTCAAGTCCTTTGCCCATTTTTGAATTATTTGGTTTTTGTTGTTGAAGCCTTTTTGTGCCTCTGTGATCAGAAGTAACATTTAGAGCACAGATCCCTGATGTTTGGAAGTTAGGGTCCTTTTTCCTGACCCTGACTTCCCCCAAGCTGCATGTAAGCTGCTCCAGGAACACACACAGCTGCCTACCACACGGCTCGGGGTGGGGGATGGGTAGCTGCTACCGTGCTAAGGGCTTAGATTGACAAAAATTAATCGCAGTATTCTATCCAAGTCTTCCTCTGGGAGTTGCAAAGGTTCGGTAGACTCCAGAGTTCCAAAATAGTTACATCAGATTCTTCCAGTTCAATTGTTGTCTAGGTGGGTAGACAGATTCCTGGCACTTACTACGTGGTCATTTCTCAGAGTCCTCTCTGTGTAATCTTTTGTTAAAAGATTAGTGGAAAGTTTTACAGACAACAGCTAGAGCAGACTGTTTAAAACTACCTGGACCATTGATTTTTACTGTTTTTTGTTGTTATTGTTGTTAAGCAGCAAAATTCTCTTTACAGTTGAAATCTGAAATGGATTTCCAACATACAAAACAGATAAAAGCAGAACATCTCTCACCTGACATTCCCTCCATCACCAGTATCCATCAGCCTCACTCCCCCTTTGTTCTTCCCACCTCCACTCCAAGGAAGTCCCTGTTTAGGTGGAGAAGAGATTAAATGAACATTTTAGCATTTCCCAAGATATGTACTAAGCAATGAATATTAATGATGAGGGATGTCAGTAGATATTGAATGGGAAAAAAATTCCATAATGAAATTAATTTTGGAAACCTTGGCTTGGATAAAGTTAGATCTGTTCTTTTACTTTGAGCCTTTAATAAATTCATGTGAGTTATGAATCCCCAAAAGGGAAGATGATACATACATTTGTCAAGCTTACTTGACGATGGTGTTTTTCAAAGAAGTAACTCGAAGAACAATAGTTTGAGAACCTCATTCCTTTATTCTGTAGTATAAGTTGACATACAAGAAATTATATGAGTTGATCAGGGACACACAGCATTACCTTATTTCAGAAAGGTATTTAGACACTTAATTGACACTCAATAAATTGGAGTGAAGAAAAGAATCAAAGCTCCTTATGCATAGTATTCTTTCTTTTATACTACGCTCCTACCCAGATTTGAGATTTGTTCTGCCTAGTGTCATATACATACATATACTAAGAAAAATCTGTCATCAGGTTTTGTTGTGCATTGTGCTCAATAATATGCACAGTACTTATAGGAAAATAGAAATGTAACATGTGATCTCAGAGTATAAGGCAATTACAAAGTAACTGGGGTGTAACATTTGTCCATTCACCAAATAGTGTTTAACTGTACTAGTTGTTCATAACAGTGGTGAAGAAGCAGAAATGTCCCTTCCCACTACAGCTTAAATCTAGTCATGTACATTAAAGATTAGCAAACAGTGTAAGAGTGTAGTGGGTCTATTTGTGGTCATTTGAAGTTAAAATCAACATTAAGGACATTACTAGGAAAATCATTTAAGATACATATATATTTAGCATACAGCTGCATAAAAATGGAATTGCTTTCTAATTGTTCTTGAAAAGTACAGTTTATTCTCTAGCTATTATACTGAAAGTGACAATGGTTTGAATTATTCTAAGCTGTTTTGTTAGCATCCAAGGCCTTCACAAACGGAAGCATCATGTAAAATGTACTTTATCAAATTTGTTGGTATGGACAACTCTGCACACTGGTCGTGTATTTTTCCCTCATGCCTTATTAAGTACTGCAGGAAGTCACCCAAAGTTTAAAAAAAGAAAAGGTTAAGGAATGGAGGTGGGAAAAAGAACGGGGAGTGGAGCTGATGGGTGCTGGTGAGGGAGGGAGTGTCAGGTGCAATCTCCCTGTTCGGGAGTTTTTTCTTTGCATCGTATTTCTTTGCGTTGTGTTTATGTTATAATCTTCTATTCCAATCCACTCTTTTTTGAGGTTTTATACTTTTTGCATTACAGTTGATGGAAATACCTGGGCTCAAGTAATTGCCTTATACCCAACGTTAGTGGAATGCATCACCTGCTCATCTTCAGAAGTCTGTTCTGCCCTTAAAGAAGCACTGGTTCCTTTTAAGGATTTCATGCAACCACCAGCATCCAAAGTTCAAAATGGAGAATCTTGACCAGCTACAATAAACTCAAACAAGAAAGACAGCTGAAGAATGTTTGCTCCTCAGTGAGTTTTCTGTGAGAAGGACATTTCTTACCACAAATAATTCTTGGCAGCTGTTGTTGGCCTCCTTTAAATTGTACTTACCTGAGTTAAGTAGTTCACATTACAAGCTTACATGTCAACAAAGGCTCCTGAATGAGTAGCAGTGCAAGCCTTTAATAAATTAAACTGATGGAAGAGGTGGTTAATACTGCAGCATACCTGCTACTGTTTCTTCATTTGGTGATTTAAAAGTGAGCTTATGTACAGTTTGTGGTGTATGTGTTAATGATGTACTTTTTAAAAAGAAAGAAAAGATATTTCATTTACTCAGATTTATTAGGCTGGTGTTTTTGCGCCCCTTTTCTAGTACAAAATTGTACTAAACTTTTATGCAAGACGGTACTGTAACATTCCATATTGTCTATAACCAGCCTTTGTAAACAAAGGGAACTGATATACTTGTGTGTATAATAAATGGTACAGTTCTGTATAAAATAGCTGCATTTATTATTTAAATTTTTAAAATATTGATGTTAAATGCTTGAAGCTGTATTTATTATTAATGCAAAATTGTTTGCTTACATTTTTACTTATAATTTGCCTTAAGTGGCAGATATGCTCACCATATGATCATGCAGTTAGCTGAATGCTTATTTTAAGTGTATTTACTAGTGACTGTTAAACATCTAACCAGAAAGGTCATGTGAACATAGCAGCAAATAGTTGATGATTTGCTGACTTTGCAACTTTCAAGTATAGATTATTAACTTAATATGTTGGGATATATTGTAGCACTATGACTCCGTCATACCTCATTTCTTTAATTATCTTTCTCAGATTTCACATAAGTCTGTCTCTTTTTATATTTGCTGTCTGAATTTTAAAGACTTTTCATACTTTATATTTCTACTGATCTTTTTTTTCCCACTAACAACATTTCACTGTCTTTGAATTATGACCCAGGCAAGATGATTTCACGTTTCCCAAGATTTTGCCGTGAGGTTTTGTCCATTTCAGTGCTTCATTTTGTATGTCCTCTCAAGAAGAAAATAACTGTGCTCTAACCCACGAATTTAAAATGCGTGTAATAGTCCACAACAACGAGAAGTGTATTTTTTGAGACAGTGAAGCATTTAAAAGTGCGGTAAACTTTGTCATGGAGTGAAATGCCAATTTTGTTTCACCTTCCTATCTTAGTGAAGAAGAAAAGTGCTCTTGAGTACATTAACTTAATTGTTTCTAAAAAAGCTGACTGACCTAGCTCACTGTACTTTTTATTTAATGGATTATGGTATTGTCATAATTTTATCCTGAGTTAAGTTTTCATAATTATTTATATGAAGACTCAAAGATGTTTAAAACAATGATTATTCATAAGAAATCATAGTAGTCTTAGTATTATTTTAGTATGCTGGAAGGCCTTTGATTTTAATAGAATTTATTAATTTCAGCCTCTCCAGAATAATTATAAAACTACGAGAAGATATTAGAATTAAGTAATGAATTAGATACAATTTTGAGGCTGTTGTAATTGTATATTTAATTTGCACTGTTATCTGTAGACATGTGATCAGGTCTTTTTTTTGAGGGGATATTATTTTTATTTACATGAATTAATGAATTTCTATTTTATAATTTCACCTAAAATTAAGGTAAAATATGACATTTCCTAGACTCTCTTCAAAATTTTCCTTTAAGAAAGTTGTAAAAAAAAAAATTCAAGCCGTATATTTAGTTTATTTTCTGTATTTGGATATGTTAAATTGGGGATTAGAAACGTCTGCATATCACTGATAAAGTATTCAAATAGAATAAGAAGGGTAGTATTCCAATTCAGTGACACCTTAAAAATATTGCCATGAATTTACATGAAGTAAAAATATGTCCATTCTTAAGAAATAGCAGATCAATTGCAATCAGAATAATTATGCTCCAGTGAAAGTTAAATGTGAGTCTTGGGTATGTAGCTATAATGGGAGTAGTTCTAGCTATTGTATTAGTTTTCAATACTAGAACCATGCCCTACAGAAAAAAAAAAGAAAACCCCACAAATGTGGTGAATGTGTAAATATCATATATGGTAATCAGTGCCCGTCTTAGTGATGAGCAAAGTGGGCCGCCCCCTAGGTGGTGTAATTTGACTGATTTTTCCTCCCAGGATATCTCCTGCCACCCCTAGGAATCACTGCTAGCAATTCATTCCTTTGAATCAAGGCTGCATTTTCTAAAATATCCTGACCCCTGGGGAGGTTACTACATTGCACTTGTCTTGGTATGAATTGCCTTCTTCAGGGACTAGAAGAACCGGGCTGTGTGAGATTACTAGATGCTAGGAGATTCAAAAAAGAAGCTCCCAAAGCTGAGATCATTTTATAGCACAATTGAGACTATGACTAGGACTGAAATAGTAGTAATAATGTCCTTTGAGATTCGTATTATAAATACAGTGAGTTTTCAGTCTCGCATAATCACTTTTTGTCACTGACAGTGCCTATCTTACAAAGCTGGCTAGACAACAGGCATATGCCAACAATTGGGTTCAAGTCCTTTTCTAGCTGTTTTTTCCAGTATAAAGAAACCAAACTAATTTTCAACGTGAATAACTTACTTTTTTAGTTCCCTGTAATGCTACCACTGCCAAAAAGGAAAAGAAAAGGTCATTTTGTAGTTTCTTATTTAGTTTCTTTATAGTTAGTGTTAATATTTTGTTAGTTTTACTATATATATTTGTAACATTTATGTATTAGGAGTCTGCTAGGTGCCAAAAGAAAAAGAAGATGCATAAAAGTCTGGCTTAGAACCGCTTTTAACTTTTTTTAATAATCGTGCCTAGTTGTGAGGCAGTGAAGAGCTGAGGCTCTGCCTCCTTTTCAACTTCACGCACGTTAACTTTTCACAGCCTGTTTTCTTATCCTGAAACAGAGATGATAATCAATGAGTTATTTGTTCTTCAGAGAAAACAATACAGAGTTGGAATTTTGAGTTGATTTCATAATGACATTCTTAGGGTAACTATTTACGTTGTTTGATAAATTTATTGCTATTCCTAAGCTGAGACTTTTGACTCTATGATTTTCTCCCTTTTCCTCCTGCATCATTTTCATCTTCTCTTTCTTTCTTCTTTAAGTTCTATATCCACCTTATCTCCTTTCGTTTACTTTCCCCTAATTTTTCGTTTTCTCCTTTCATCCTCTGCCTCTTCTTTTCCTCTAATTTCACCTGGATCTCTTCAAAAGAAACAGAGCTATTAGTGGTAGGACCACTACCAGCTGCCTTTCTATTAAATGAGACTCTGAAAATACCTTCCACTTTGGCCACTGCTGCTTTTTTTGCGGAGGTGAAGTCCCCCTGCCATTTCAGTGGCTGAACAAGTTAAAGTAATCTGTGGCTATTGCTCCTGCTTTCTTTCTGAATCCACAGGATTCAGCAGCCAGGATGCTCACAAAATGAGATTGCTATAAATATGATGAATTCAGCAGCTAAACTTGGAACAATCATGTCTTTTATGTGGATAGAGAGATTACACCACTTTTATCAAAAGGGGGTCTTTAAAATCCGCTTACGAAAGTTATGTTTTTTTGTCGTTTGGGGGAGGGCTTTTTATTTGTTTTTGGAGGCAGATACTTTGAACTATTTTATATTTATGTTATATAAATATTATTTGTTGATTTATAATATTTGCACAGTGCCTACTTTCAAGGAGGACTCGAGACAGCATATTGCCCATGTATTTCAGCTGTTTCTGTTTTTCTCTTGAAAGCAGTATTCTTTGATAGAAGACCTAGAATGTTAATAATACTCATCTCCAGTCTTTCTTGGGTGTATTTGGTATCTGTGTGCTTGGAGCTTAGAGTGATACAGAGGTCAGTTGAAACATTCTTACACTGTGGGATTGATTCTAGCCCCTCAGGTAAGAAAAAAATTTATTGTGCCCTTGAATTTTGAGACCATTTTCAGTTGCTGCAAATGTGGTTATATTAAATTTTATTTTAAACTAACATTCAATAAATAGTGCAACCAGGGAAGATTTGCTAAACCATGCCATTATTTGGGAAACTATTGCAATATATGAACAACTGCTTCTTTCTGTGAAGTTTTGCTAGATGGGAGAAAAATTCTAAAGCTATAATACTGCAATCTTATTCTTTTTATCTAGAAAAATAAAATATTAGGCTTCAGACCCAACTGTGAAAATTGCATTTGCTTTCCAGCTTTTACTACCTCTGTGTCATAATTTTAACACATAACATACAACTTCTGTCTCTTAAGGCAGTTACCATATGGTGTTTATGTCAGACTGGATATATTTATCTAATTTTGTGAGATTCTTTTTTAGCTCCCGACACAGTTCTTGAAAGTAATACTGCTGTTGTTACACTTTCTCCTTGCAATTTTTATGTTGTTGAGATGTATCAGTTATGTATTATAATCATGGAAGTCTCTTGGCCTCAAAGCCAAGTTTTCTTAGTGGCCTAGGATAGATTTTTCACAAAAACTGCATAGTTACAGCTGTGATTACATAGGTCCTTAATTTGCTTTACAGTTAGCACTCAGCATGATTCTAGATTTTTAATTATGTTCCAGCAGTACTAGTTTTCTCAGTATAACTTAAAATCATAACCACTTTGAGAATTTATTTTCAGATCTGATAAAACTACTCATTTTTTCTTTAATGTACATTGTTTGCTTCCTCATTCCCACTAGGTTCAACACTTTAGTGACATCCTACATCACTGACTCTGTTTAAAGACTTCATAAGTGATTCAAATATTTGTATCAATTTGGAAAAACCTTTATAAAATACAGTAATGGAGATGTGTTTTTGAGATGTCTCTTTGGTGAACTATTAATATAAAAAATGAAAAAAAATACAATCAGAAGGACATTATGAAATATCTCCTAGTAGTTTAGAAAGAAGATTGAGAACTATGTGTGAAAATTTTAGGTCAAGTAAAAAGCATAATCCTCATGCAGATTCGACTCTTTGGATTATTTTTTGTTTCATGAGCATTCCTATTTACTTTTAATTTGGTGAGATTAATTTTGAAACTGCCTACGTATAGCAATGCCGGACTATCCCTCCACCTCTCAGAGAAAAAGTTTATTTTAAAATTTCTTTTTTTAAAACCTGTGTAATAAATGTATGATACTGAAAGATTCCTCCATAGTACTTACAGAAGTCAGGTGTAGTTACAATAATTTTCCTAATTTCTAATTTTAATCGTCATTTCTGGAGAACCTAGTATGTGTCAGTCAGGGCTTTGCCTGTATTATTCCTTTTAATTCTTGCAGCAGTTCCTGCAAGGAAGGTAGTAGTATACTTATTTTACAGAGGAGGAAGTCAAGTTTTAGAGGGTGAAGTGACTTACCTAGAGTTACACATCTAAAGTCTGTGAATAAACATCTCATTTCAAAAGCAGTTTTTTTCCACAGCATGTTAGATTCACATTTTACAAAACAGATCCACACTCCATTAAAATACATGGTTTACTGAAATAAACTGAAAATGCTTTTTAGACAATTACTATTTCTGTGAATAGGCATTGGGACAAACACACTTGAATGTAACAGAGAACTTCAGATATTGTGAAAAAAAGATTTGCCCAATGACTATGATCTCCAGAGCTGCACTGGGTTTTTATTATTGGTCCAGGAGAGTTTAAAACATCTTAACTGATTTGTAGTTTTTTATAAAGGATTGTTATATTATAGCCAATAGCTTAGTGGTTAAGAGCCCAGAGTTTGGGGTTAGACGTCCTCTATGCAAATTCCAGCAGTGTTAATTTACTAGATGTGTGATTTTGGGTTAATTAACCTCTTTTGGTTTCCTCATCTGTAACATAGTAGTGTTTAGCTCATAGAGTTGTTTATTAGGATTTAAAAAGGAGTGTTGTAAACAACTGTCCCTGGCACATGGTAACTGGTGGATGTTATAGTTAAAAAAACAAACACAAACCAAATTTTTGGTACACATTATACAAGAAATGGGCAGAAAACTCATACCTTCTCACAGAGTGATCCATTTTTTGCTTTTTACTGAACAACCACAGTGTATTAAGATTCTACTATGTATATATTTATAACTGTGTCTTTGCTGTATGCAGTAGAAGTCATTGGGGGCTCTCAGGTGCCTATAGCTTGTTGAGGAAACCATATACATAAAATAATACTAAATTAATTTAGTATTATTAATACTAAAGATTAATAAGGAAATGAAATATCTTAATGGTAGAGATTGAACTTAAAATGGGCCTTGATGGTTACGTAGCTTTTGGCTGGGTCCAAAGTATATTGGAGGGTGTTTCAGATAATGACAAATAAGGTGAGCAAGTTGTATCTCTAAGATATGAAGAAACTGATAGAGTACAGTTCTGTGTGTTGTATGAAACAAGGTTGATGGTAAGGGATTGAGGCCCATTCATGAAATTCCTTGAAAGCCAAGCAGAGTAGTTTAGATTTGAGGTGGCAGGAGTTTGGAGTGATTATTTTTAGGAGTAAATTATGAAACTAAGGAAGATAAACTTGCAGTTATAAGCAGGATGGAGTGAAAGAATATAGGGAAAGCTAAGATAGCAGACTGTTGCAGTGTTTCTGCTGTGAGGTCACGATGAAGGATTGGTAAACTAAGGGTGCTCCACATTTGGAAAGGATGCTTAGATTCTGGATATTATCGGTGGAGACAAAGATTTGATAACAGCACATTGTGTCTGAAGGATGAGTAGATTGATGTCAACACTGTCAAAAAAAAAACCAGGTTAATTGTGGAAAGGAATCTGATACAATTAAAGCAGTGTAATGACCACTTTTATTTGGAAATTGTATTGCTCTCATGTATCTGTATACTGTAGACCACACAACTGTTTGATGACCATTTGAAAATCTGTACCATTATGACAGATGACATTTGCTATGGTGCAGGAAGATGTGGTCCACTGCGCAGTGAAGGAGCAGTGGGGGATGATAGCCACGGCAGCCCAGCCACTGCTGACAGGGAAAGGTGGTATGAATCATAGTGAAACTGTTAGTGAAGTTTCTACAGAGTTTGTGGTAAGCACCATTGTGATACACAGTCATTTTTATACTTTATCAAGTAAGGAATTTAATTTCAGGTGTGTCCTATATACACACAGAAATAGATACTGTCAACTGGAAATAGTTCAGATTGGCTATTGCAGGCAAAGTACCTTCAGCAGTTGCTTTAAAATGCCTACGATAAGCATGACATTGAGATCTGTCAGTGAGTGGGAATACCCAAATGTATTTTATTTTCTGAATTTGCATATTACAAATTTTATTTTGAAACATGGCAAGATGCTTTTTAATTTGAAAACTTGTTCAAGAAATTGTCCCCCATCACCAATACCATACAGAATAGAAACAAAGACACTGTTATGTAATCTTTAATTTGCAATGAGATTCTTTGCCTGAGAGCTGTTATACAAAATTAGATTTTGCTGGTTTAAACTGGGGGAAAAAAACCAAAAATTTATTTTTCCAAAAAGTAATTACACATGTATGTCCCTTGTGCGTGGTTTGGAGTAACCCTCTAGCCTTAATTAAACCATCAAGGTATCCTCTCAGCCAGTCCCAAGTATGAACACACTCTTTTAATTCCTCCATTCCCTTTGTTATACGGTTTGGATTATAAAAATATAGGACACCAGTTAAGTCTGGACTTCAGATAAAGTTGTTGGTTTTTTTTTTTACTACAGGGGACATACATATACTAAAAACTTGTTTATCTGATGTTCGAATTTAACAGGACGTTCTGTATCTTAACTGACAACACCTGCTTACTTTTTCGTCAAATGATTTAACTTTCCAGAAGAATCGCGAAATGGGAGGCAAAGTAACCGGCCTAACCTAAAAGCAGGTGAGGCTCATAGCAATCAATGGGCCTTCCTCCAAACTTGGCCTTTAAAAAAAAAAACAAACCCCCCCCCCCCACAAATCCCAGGAGCCTGCGCATTAAAGCGAGCCGCGCAGCAGCTTTCCCGCCGGTTTTCTGCGGGCAGCAGCTCGGCGGCCACGCCGCGGGGTGGAGCGCATGTGGCCGTGTCCTCGCCGGACGGGAAAGGAGGTGCCGGAAACTTTCAGCCCCGCCAGAGTACAACGTGTCCACTTAGACGGCGGTAAGTGCCGCCATCTTCTTTGCGGGCAGAGAGCGGGAGAAGTTAGGGGCTCCACTTTGCCCCGTTAAGTGGATGGGGGGCATGGCCCGCGGCCTCAGCACGCCGGTGACGTGGACTTGGGGTCCCCCTTTGGGGCTTATTTCTAGTGACACGTCGAAGTTTGCCAAGGCGGGGAAAAGGGACGCCGCCTCTGTCCCGGATGTAAGATGGCGGCGCGGGGGGTGGCCTGGCGGGGCGGTCACGTGGTGGGGAGTAGCGCGCGAGCCTCCTTAAGTGATCTCTATGGTTCGTCCGGACTCACTGGAGCAGCGGAGCGCGAGACGCGGCGTGTGTCCACGCGCGCCGAGCTGCCGCCGCCGCCGCCGTCACCCATCCCGCCGCCCGGCCCGGTTTCAGTTTGACGGGGTTTTTCTTTTGTTTTCTTCTCGCCTCCTGCGGGGTGCACGGGATTTCCCCGCAGGGCGCTGGGGAGCAGGTCGCCTGGGGACTTCCGGGCTGTGCCTTCGTTTCTGACCCCGGCGCCGGAGCCGGCGTCCGCCTCTGCGGGAAGCGCCCCGGGCGTTCTCCCGCCCGGAGAGCCGGCCCCGCGGCGGGTGTAAGGGAGCGCGGCGCCGGTGGGGGCCCTGCCGCCGCCCAGCCCCCACCGCCGGCCGGGCAGGGAGGGGCGCGGGCGGCACAGCCCTAGGACGTCGCGGGAGCGCGGCGGGGACGGCCGGGCCGGCGGCGGGCGAAGTGCGGGAGCGCTGCCCGCCGCCTCTCGGGGCCGTCCGGGTCCCCTAGTCGTCTGCTGCGCTTTTGCCGCCCGTTTCCTGGTCTCGAGTGGCCCGGGGGGCCGCGTCCCCTCGGGGCGGCGGACGGAGCGGCTGCCTCCGCCAGGAGCCCTCCACACCTTTTCTCTTTCCAGAGCGGCGGGTTACGTAGAGAACGCCGGCCCTGCCTGCCCCGGGCGCCGGCGCCGTGGTGATTCCCGGGGCGCGCCCGGTGCGGCCGAGCGGCGCGGCGCTGGGCGGGGTCACCGGGCGCGGCGGGGAAGGGCAGGGGCGCCGGGCCGACGTCGGCGGCCAAGGAAGGACGGAGGAGTGCCGGAGCCGCTTCGCTCGCCTCAGCGTGGTCCGGTGCCTCCCGACACCATGGCCCTGGCTGAGGTAGTAGTTTGTGCTGTTGGTCGGGTTGTGACATTGCCCGCTGTGGAGATAACTGCGCAAGCTACTGCCTTGCTAGTGCTGGTGATGCTCAGCGCCGCGGAGGACAATGACTGGGAATCCCCTTTGTTTTCCGGGGCGCAGGGGCAACCCTCGGAGCCCCGGCCCTGCTGCTGCCACGGAAACCGTTACTTTTGCATTTTCCTGGAGAGAGGGAAGGGATTGCGGGAGCCGGGTGGACCGGGGCGTTTTTAAACGGGGGAAGAGCTAAATCTTTGGATTCGCTGTTTGCTTATGAAGGAAGGAATGAAATTGTGTGCGATATTGACACATAACTTTTTCACCCTAAATAATTTTAACGCTTTTTTCAGTAGTTGATGCAAAATTGAGTTTGTACCTCTTTCATCTCGTTTCTTAGCTGTAGGTCAGAGTGGAGTGAGGTATCTTGTGCAGAACTGGCATTGGGGGCAGAATAGTAGACCCATTAATTATAAAGTTTATGCCTTAACATTTTAAATCTTTTTTTGATACACTTCATCGATAAGTTTAAGAGTTGTAAAGATGTAAATCCAAAGCAATTAAAAGTTTGTTTAAACTTTGTTGCAGCTCCTTGAATGAGAAGATTGAATTTATAGTTCAGTGCACTTCTGAGATTTTATAATGTATGAGGCAAATAAACTCTTTCTACAGTGTGCTGTGTTTTCTTTCTTTTTAGTTTAACTTTGGGGGCTCATTCTGCTGGTGTGGTCGGGTTTTTTGGCCTTTGATTGTCATGTTATATGGTAATTACATCGTATTTTAGTGTGGAAGGAAAGGATTTAGGTACAGGCTAAAAGTATGGTTTCTGGATGTTTTGAATTTAAAACCTATAATGCCTGTTTTGATTCGTGAAGTACCACTACAAATAGGAAAATACCATTCTTACAAAGAAAAAGTGTAGTTTGGGTAATTGATATTTTAAATACTCTGAAGTCTGGGTGGAAGAGATGATTGTATTTTTGAAATTTTAATGTCAGTGAGAAACTGATGGTAAATTTTAACACTGAGAAAACTGATCTGGTTTTGATTTGTGCAGGATAATTAGCTTTGAATGTGATACAATCACAAGCATCCTATGGCTTAATTTTTGATGCACAGTTTAAAAAAAGGCGTCTGCTAAGAAAAAAGTGCATATAAGGAGAAAAAATTTGAAAGCCAACTGTATCCTTTTTGTCTCCTTCAGCAGGAGTTTGATGCTTTCATAATTCAGAAGTGATCTAATAAGAGTGCTTTGATTTGGTTTGGTTTAGCTTTGAGAGATAGCTCGCTCAGGCTGATCTCATCTGGATAGAGCTGCCTCATTGTGGGAAGGACAGTGCAGAACCTTATGTTGAATCTTAAGATGCAGAAAATAGTTGAATGTTGGCTCTTTGAGTTTGCTTTCTTGATATCAAAGAGTAAAGTAAATGCAGGACTTCATTAAGTGTCAGTTCTTTTAAATGGTGAAGATCTGGGTGCTCTGTCAAGTCTTGATTTATGGAGAAACTAATAAAATTCTAATTAGTGTATGATTTTCATTTTCCAAAGGACTTCATTTAGCCAGCCAAGCTAATCCTCGCCCAACAGAGGTCATCTTTCCCACTACACTATGTAACAGTTTATAGAGGATCAACAGTTGTTAATTTGTACCCCAAGTATTACAGATTCTGCCAGTAATTTACTGCACTTTTAAGGATAGGAAGCTGTGCTATGTAGATAAATTATTCAGTTTATCCCCTGCTTTTAAAGTAAATTTCACCCAAGACTATATTGCCCACATAGTAGGAACATTTTGAATGTAGAGGTACTTTATATATTATTATTATTTGCTAAATTATAAGAGAAAATACTGCCCCAGCCAATGTATTTTTAGTACCATAGTTATATTTCTGCTCTAATCTCCAATTTAAAAAATTAGCCTTTCACTTTTGCATTTGTTGTTTACATTTCTCTACACACAGGTGAAAATTACCTACTGAACATTTTTACTGTTGACAATTTCCTACAAGATGAGTTTGCCTTATCAGTACAACTTTCCAATCTTTGACATTTACTTGGCACAGTTAACTTTTTTGTTGACCTGTTGTCAAGCATTTAAGTAATTTGTAGTAGCAAAAAGCCACTAATGAGAAAGAATAAGGCAGTATTTTGGGTGTTCTTTTCAGTAAGTAGCAGACCAAAGGAAAGCTGGGTTATGGTAATAACATTTTAATAAGTGTTACCCTCAGTTACTGGAAATACGGATGCTATTGTGTATGGGACACCTAGGGAAGATGTGTGGGTAACAGTTTTACTTCATGCCCCATAGTCAGAATTTCTAATTGTTAATCTTATATATAAAAACTTTGTTTATAAGCTATTTAAACATAAAATTGCCTTTTGGCAGGTGGGCCAGGGTAGACTGTCTTGTAGGGTGGCCCCAAAAGAATTCTTGCCAGAGGAACCTGACAGCAGAGATGATTAGCTCTTCAGTGTATGCGAATAAGGTGCCAAGAAGGCTGTGAAATTTCTTCACAATTACCCATTCTTTTCCCTTACTGTATGTTACACACCACCCCCTCCATAGTTTAAAAAATAAAAAAAAAGAGGTACCACTGAACACTCCTGTCTAATTTCTGCAACAAAAGGAAAATAGGACAGTTGTCTTCAAAAGTGAATTAGGCCGGATTGGTAATACCCATGAGAAGAATATAGCCATTGTCAAAGTCTAAAAAGCCACTGGAGCCACTGATGTCTAGATAATTGAGGCAGAAATATTAAAATCACTTGAATGATTGTCTAACACAATTCATTAAGTGTTCTTGTTAGAATATCACTTTTAGGTACCATGGGGAAAGCAGAATAATTGTATGGTCAGGTCACTGCCCCAGATACATGACAGAACATAAAGTGCCTAAGAATCAAAATGTGGGCAGTGACCTAGGTTACCTTTGAGACCTGGCAGGAAACAAGTGGGTGAAAGAGCTGAATGGGTAAGTATGGAACATTTAGAATACAGCTCCTGTAACACAGATGTCTTGATTATGTTTCTTGCCTCTAGTAGTCATTCTAAAAGTGGAATCGGAGTCTTGCAGATGAAAGTCACACTTGTAATGATACTGTGGCTGGCTTATGTTTTAGTCTTGTTATCTGCTGCGGTATGTTGAGGTATTACCTGAGTTTGCTTAAGAGAAATACTATTGAGGGGCGTGGCTATATCTTAGTGGTAGAGCAGGTGCCTAGCATACATGAGATTCTGGGTTCAATCCCCAGTACCTCCATTAAATAAATAAATAAACCTAATTGCCCTTCCCCACACACAAAGAAATGTTTCACATGGCATATACTGTGCTTTTTTTTTTCTTTAGCTCAAGTTGAGAGTTATTTAGTTAGATTTTCATTTAACAGTTACCTTTCTTCAAAAGTACTGTTTTGTTCACATGTAGTGGGATTGGACCTCTTACATAGACATCTGGGCACTAAATTTGAATAGGCTTCTTTTAAACTGCATCACTGACACCCAACAGTACAAATTTGGTTATGAACAAACCTAAGATAGGAGTCTTGTCGATTTTACAGGGTAAGTTCATAGTTCTTACTCCTTTTTCCACCTCAAACTCCTTTTTTCCACCTCAAACACCACTTGCTGAAAATACACCATTTGCTTTTAGCTGGAATTCAAATTCTGTTAGTTCCATTGTAATATAATTGAGAATGTTTTATCATGGAGGTCATGGTTTCTCAGAAGGCCAAATCGTGTTGAAGAAAAGTAAACTAGGGACTAAAAAGTGTCCACAGACATTGGCAATTTAGATCATCCATGTAGTCGTTACGCTGTGTTTTCTGTTATAAGTGAAAAGTCTCTAAGTGCTCTCTGAGCAACAAACTACAATTATGTGTGTTTCACACCACTTTGAACTTTAACAAAAAAGTGTTAAGATTCAGAGGCTGCTATTGCAATGTTCTTCACGCAGTGTATTTTAAAGCCCTTATTGAACAGAAAAGCGTTACTATATAGATAACATGGTGTGTGCGAATCGTAATAGTAATGCTGACTTACTCCACATGGCAGAAAGAGCTGACTGAAAGCAAATACACAAATGGAAACTTTCCCCTATTTTTTAAAAAAACAAATTTGCATACTATTTAATAAGACAGGTTAACAGTGATGAGAATAAGAATCCTACCTGCCTTTAATTTTTTTTTAGTGACTGAAACTCATACAGAATAAATGTGTTCCAGATAAATCCATTCATTCATTTTGTTTAACACGTATGTTGAGTACCTCCCATGTAGCAGGCACGGGGATACTCAGTAGACTAAAATGAGCAAGTCTCTGCCTTTAATGGAACGTACATTCTAATGGGAATACATTTGTCTAAAATAACAATAATAGCCATGTAGTGATTGCTCTCCATGGGCCACTTGGGTTGTTTTCAAACTTACGTTCCACTCAGGTACCCACTCTAAACCCTTGCTCCAGGACCACTAGTGGTGTGTGTGTGTGTGTGTGTGTGTGTGTGTGTGTGTAGACGTCCTTCTTTCCTATTGTTTAGTTTGGTATTATTAGGTGTCGTCGTAACTTAAAATTTTAAAAATTTATTTAGTTACGTTCGGTTGGTTAG